TACTCGAGTTTATCATAATAAACCGCAAAAATGTTTAAAATTGATTTTTAATCGTATGACCTTAACAATTTTTTATATTGTTGTAGGGACGTACAACGGATCTTCTTTTTGTCGCAACTGCTCGATATCAATATTTCGTTCTTTCATATGATGTTGAAAATCAAAAATTAATTACTGAAGCGACGGGAAATTTTGTGAATCGAGTCGGAAAACCTGCAGAATTAGGACCACTTTCTGCAATAGATCCTAATTGTAAAATGATTGGATTGTATGCGTATCATGGTCTATTGACCGTAATGCCAATGATAACAAGTTCTGGGAAACAAAAACAGCAATTAAATAAAAGTTCTCAGCAAATCCGAAGAGATGCAAGAAATAATCAACCTATCGGAACCATTCAAAAACCATTTAATTTAAGGTTTAATAACTTCTGTTAAATTAACTGATTAAAATATACATATTTATTTATTATTTTTATGGTCTCTTATAGATTAAAGGAATTGTTGATTCGATCAATGGTTTTATTACATAATACAGATTTACCTACAATTGCTATTTTATATGAAGATTCGAAAGAACGATGTCATATCAAAACTTATACAATAAATCTTAAAGAAAAAGAATTTGTAGAAGGTCCCTGGAAACTGAATGATATTGATGATACTTCAAATTTATTGGTTTCTGTTCCTAAAGGTTAGTTGAAAGTTCGTTTTATGATGATTAATTTTTATTAAAACTCAATATATTTTCCAGGTGGATTTTTGATCGTACAATCAAAAACTATTGTATATTATGATGGTAATTTTAAGGCACGGCAAATTGATTTGGAGTTCCCAACTGCGGCAAGAGGGTAAGGTATCGTTCATATTATTTGATTTGAGCCTATTTTAATAAGTATACTTAGTAATTTTAGTATAATAAGTAAATCAATGAAATTAATATTAGATTATTATTCACAAGTTCATTTGAGTTTTGGTTGAGATTTGAATTATTATAATAATATATTTTGTGTGTGGTTGTTTGTTAATCGGTTCGCATCAATCTACTCGAATGAATTTGTTAATGAGATTATCGACAAACTTTACGCATTAGTTATTAAATTTTTTGGAATCATCTTTTTTATAAGAATCGCGGCTGTTGATGATGACGGATCGAGATATTTGATTGGTGATGTGTTTGGGCAACTTATTTTAATTGTATTACCTGATACAGGAGAATTATATACACACTTTCTCGGAAAGGTAAAGTTATATTGTCGTTTATGGTTAATACAATCTAAATAAATATTAATTCAATTTATTTTTAATACAGATTTCAGTCCCATCGAGCCTACTTTATCTTGATCATAGTTATGTTTTTGTTGGGTCCCATTTTGGAGATTCACAATTAATAAGATTACGACAAGATAAGAACGAACAAGGTTTTTTATTGGATATACTTGAAAAATTTATCAATTTGTCACCAATACAAGATTTTTGTATAGTAAATTTGGAACGACAGGGACAGGTATAATGTTATAAGTTTGATGATGGACTTGCTTTCATTGAAAAGAAAATCCGATTATTTAATTGTTATTGCAAATATATAGGGTCAAGTTATTACTTGTTCAGGTGGTTCAAGAGATGGATCGTTACGAATTATTCGTAATGGCGTTGGTATTACGGTTCAAGCAACGCTGGATATGTCTGGAATAAATGGTATTTGGTCTTTACGTCCACATTTTGACGCAGAGTGCGTATCAATAATTTAAGAAAGATTTTCGAAATTTTTTTCCTTTTAAATAAAATCATAAAAATAAAACCGAACTTCTGTCATTTAGTTACGATGATATGATGGTTATCTCCTTTATTGGAGAAACGCGTATTTTAAAATTGTCACAAGGTGAAGAATTGGAAGAAGTAAACCAATATTGCGGCTTTGATATGAGTCGATCCACTATAGCGACATCCAATATAATTGGAAATTTACTTGCACAGGTGAGTTAAGAAATTTTTTGTTATCTAAAGGAAATTTCGAATTAATTCATTAAGTTTAAATTAAATATTAGGTTACTGAAACTAGTGTAAGATTGGTTGATTTAAATAATCAGAGAGTCACTTCAGAGTGGAATCCTCCGGCACTTAGTAAGATAACTGTTGCTGACATAAATCCTACTCAAGTAGTTGTAGCACTTGGAGGTGGTAGCTTAATTTATTTTGAGATAAAAGGTTTAGAGCTAGTAGAAATAAAGTGAGTGATCTTTATTAATTAATAAAGTTCATATTAAGAATAATGTTTTAACCTTTTTCTTTTTTTTTTTAAAAAAAAAATTAGATCAACGAAATTAGAATACGAAGTTTCGTGTGTTAATATTAGTCCACTAGATATAAATAATCCTATAAATTCCACGGTAGTTGCCGTGGGTCTCTGGACTATAATTGGAGTACAAATATTGAGGTTGCCTACTTTAGAAATAATAGCAAGTCAACCTCTTGAAGGAACAGCGATTACGCGTTCTGTATTGTTAACAACTTTCGAATATAACCATTATCTAATAGCAGCTTTAGGTGATGGGCAATTGTTCCATTTCATTTTCACTCCAGAAACGGGTCGGTTATCAGAGAAGAAACAACTTTCTCTTGGTACACAGCCCATAATGTTAACTTCATTCACATCCAATGGAATGAATCACGTTTTCGCTGCTTCGGATAGACCAACAGTAATTTATAGCAGCAACAAAAAATTGCTTTATTCTAATGTTAATACCAAGGTGGATAAAATTACCTTTGAATATTGTTATGTTGACAAATTTAAGTTTTTTTTTGACTGTTTGGAATATAATTTATGATCCGTTTTCTACCTTAACTTTTATTATAAAGGATGTCACATATATGTGTCCTTTCCGACCCACACCTATGGCAACATCGTTAGTTATCACGCATGAGGAAGGTTTAACTATTGGCAGTATTGATGAAATACAAAAACTTCATATTAGGACAATACCCCTTAATGAAATGCCACGTCGTATATTTCATCAGGAATATAGTAATACTATTGGAATTTTAACAACGAGACCAGTACCTGATCCTGAAACTGGTATACAGGAACATTTATCGTTTTTCAAGGTTTTAGACGACCAGTCATTTGAATGTAAGTATGAATTTGGTTTTAGCAACAATTATTGTATTATTGTATTTAGATTTTTTTTTTTTAAAAAAAAAAGTTTATGATTGGTTTCAAATGTTACCACATGAGTCGGTTCATTGTCTTACATCTGTAAAATTTGATCATGAAAGAGAAGAAGCACCAGAATATTATGTTGTCGGAACTTCATTTGCTTTTCCAAATGAAACCGAATCGTTAAGAGGTAGAATTTTGATATTCCATGTGGATAAAGTTGATCATGCACCTAAATTAAAATTAGTTCATGACAAGGAAATGAGGGGTGCAGTTTTCACATGTGCGCCATTTAACGGCAAATTATTGGTCGGTGTAAACTCAACGGTGAATTATTATTTTATTTAACATTATTTTTAGTTTTGCGATAATTTATCATTTTAATAATAAATCTAATATTAGGTGATCGTTTTGGAATGGAATCCCGAAGAAGGGAAAGAAATGTTGACGGAAGTTTGCAATTATGTTAATTTTACAATGGCGTTGCATGTTGTCGCACGAGGTCATTTCGTAGTAGTCGGCGACTTACTGCGATCAGTTTCTTTGTTAGCATACAAAGAATTGGAAAAAGGCGAAAAGGTTTTAGAATTAATAGCTAACGATTATAATCAAAATTGGTTATCGGCAGTCGAAGCTCTTGATGATGATGAATTTATAGCTGCTGATACAGATCACAATCTTTTTACACTCAAGAGGAATTCAGATTCAACAGATGAGGATGAACGAAGAAAATTGGAAGAAGTGGGGGCATTTCACTTGGGTGACCTAATAAATCGGATACGACATGGTTTGGAAATTTTTTTTTTTTTTATGTACATTTTAAAACCACTGATATATTAAATATATATATTTTTTAGGATCCTTGGCCATGAA